AAAGGAAAAAGAAAGGAATCCCAAAAAGGGAACAAGGGAAGGGAAATGAACCCCAAAAAGGAGCCAAATTTTGGCCGAGTTGCACCAGAAGAAGAAAAGAGATTTTAAAAATTTAAAATAACCAAAATTTCAGCTGGAACAGCGGAGCTGGGACTGGGGGAGGATCCGGTGCCGCTTTTGGGGCAGTTTGGGGAAAAACGCTGAATTTGGGGCCGCTGCCTCTGTCCCGTCCCTCCTTGCCCTGCTCGTTCCTTCCCCCCAAAAAAGATGAAGCAAAAAGAGATTTTTAAAGAGGAAAACAACCAAAATTTCAGCTGGAACCGCGCGGGAGAGGATCCGGTGCCGCTTTTGGGGAAAAACGCTGAGATTTGGGGCTTTCTCCTCTCTTTTGCCGCTCTCTCACTCCTCGCTTTGGGCTGAGTCACCCCCAGAAGGCGAAAAGAGATTTCAAAATTTAAAATAATCAGGATTTCAGCTGGAACGGCCGAGCTGGGGCTGGGGGGAGGATCCGGCGCCGCTTTTGGGGCGGTTTGGAGAAAAACGCGGAGTTTTGATGGCGCTGCCTCTCCCGTCACTCCTGACCCCCGAAAGGAGCCGCGCTTTGGGCCAAAACACGAAAACAGATTTTTAAAGAGGAAAACAACCAAAATTTCAGCTGGAACAACGGACTGGAGGCGGATCCAGCACCGTTTTTGGGGCAGTTTGGAGGAAAACGCTGAGTTTGGGGAGCTCTGTCCATCCCGTCACTCCTCATTCATTTTCCCCAAAAGGAGCCGCACTTTGGGTCTCGTTGAACCCCAAAAAAAGATTTTTAAATGAAAACAACCAGAATTTCATCTGGAACAACAGACTGGGGGAGCTTCCAGCGCCGCTTTTGGGGCAGTTTGGAGGAAAATGCAGAGTTTTGGGAGCGCTGCCTGTGCCGTCACTCCTTACCCTGAAAGGAGCCGCGCTTTGGGCTGAGTTGCTCCAAAACACAAAAAGAGATTTTTTTAAAGAGGAAAATAAAATTTCAGCTGGAACAACAGATTGGGGAGGATCCGGCGCTGCTTTTGGGGCAGTTTGGAGGAAATCTCTGAGTTTTGGGAACTCTGCCAAACTCCTTTTTGGAGCCGCACTTTGGGCTCCTTTTACCTCCGTTCTCCAGAAGGAGAAAAGAGATTTAAAAAATGAAAATAACCAAAATTTCAGCTGGAACAACAGACTGGGGGAGTTTCCGGCACCGCTTTTGGGGCAGTTTGGAGGAAAATGCAGAGTTTTGGGAGCGCTGCCTCTCCTGTCACTCCTCACACCCGAAAGGAGCCGCGCTTTGGGCTGAGTTGCTCCAAAACACGGAAAGAGATTTTTTTAAAGAGTAAAATAAATTTTCAGCTGGAACAACAGACTGTGAGGAGTTTCCAGCGCCTGTGAGGAGTTTCCGGCTCTGTTTTTGGGGCGGTTTGGAGGAAAATGCAGAGTTTTGGGAGTGCTGTCTCTCCTGTCACTCCTTACCCCGAAAGGAGCCGCGCTTTGGGCTGAGTTGCTCCAAAACGCGAAAATTCGATTTTTTAAAGAGTAAAATAAAATTTCAGCTGGAACAACAGACTGGGGAGGATCCGGCCCCACTTTTGGGGCAGTTTGGAGAAAATCTCTGAGTTTTGGGAACTCTGCCTCTGTGTCCTCTCTCTCCTTTCCCCAAAAAGGAGCCGCGCTTTGGGCTGAGTTGCTCCAAAACGCAAAAATTNCGATATAAAAGCGATATAAAAGCTGATATAAAAGCTAATTAACTCCAACGCGCCCTCCCTCCTTCTCCGGTTGTATTTTGGGTTTTTTTTTAAAGCAGGGAAGGAGCGTGGCTCTGAAATATTCATCGCCGCTAATAAACAAACAATTAACGGCGCAAATAAATGAACTGCGCGCTCGGGAGGCAGCGCCGGCAAACGCAGCGCGGAACCTCGGCCGGGAACATTTTCCCACCCATTTTTCCTCTTTTTTCTCCGTTTTTCCCCCTTTTTTCTCCCTCACTTTCCTCCCCCGCGGTGTTTCCGCGCTTTCCCCGCTGAACTTTTCCCATCAATTTTTCCTCTTTTTTCCCCGTTTTTTCCCCCTTTTTTCTCCCTCACTTTCCTCCCCTTGCGGAGTTTCCGCGCTTCCCTCCCAGTGAACTTTTCCCGGAGATTTTTCCCCTTTTTCCCCATTTTTCCCCCTTTTCCTTACTGTCCTCCCCTTGCGGAGTTTCCGCGCTTTCCTCCCAGTGAACTTTTCCTGGAGATTTTTCCCCTTTTTCCCCTTTTTCCCCATTTTCCCCACTTTTCCTCACTTTCCTCCCCTTGCGGAGTTTCCGCGTTTCCCTCCCAGTGAACTTTTTCCCGGAGATTTTTCCTTTTTTTTTTCTCCCTTTTTATTTTTCCTCCCCTTTTTTCTCCCTCACTTTCTTCCCCTTGCGGAGTTTCCGCGTTTCCCGCCCAGTGAATTTTTCCCGGAGATTTTTCCCCTTTTTCCCCTTTTTCCCCATTTTTCCCGCTTTTCCTCACTTTCCTCCCCTTGCGGAGTTTCCGCGTTTCCCGCCCAGTGAACTTTCCCCGGAGATTTTTCCCCTTTTCCCCATTTTTCTCCCTGTTTTCCTCACTTTCCTCCCATTGCGGAGTTTCCGCGTTTCCCTCCCAGTGAATTTTTCCCGGAGATTTTTCCCCTTTTTCCCCATTTTTCCCCTTTTTCCTCCCTTTCCTCCCCTTGCGGAGTTTCCGCGTTTCCCTCCCAGTGAATTTTTCCCATCAATTTTTCCCGGAGATTTTTCCCCTTTTTCCCCATTTTTCCTCACTTCCCTCCCCCGCGGTGTTTCCGCGCTTTCCCCGCTGAACTTTTCCCATCAATTTTTCCTCTTTTTCCCCTTTTTCCTCTCCCTTTCCACCCCGCGCAGTTTCCGCTCTTCCCCCGCTGAACTTTTTCCCTTCATTTTTTTTCTTTTCTCCCCATTTTTCCCCCCTCTTTGCTCTCCATTTCCACCCCGCGGCTTTTCCGCGCTGCCCCTCCGCCCTCCACCGCGGAATTTCCTCCCGTTTTCCTCCACTTTCCTCCCTTTTCCTGCGTTTTCCTCCCTTTTCCTGGGTTTTCCTGGCTCTTCCTGGGTCTTCCTGCCGTTTTGCTGCCTTTTCCTGAATTTTCCTGCCGTTTTCTTGCGTTTTCCTGAGATTTTCCTGCCGTTTTCCTATATTTTCCTGNGGGGTTTTTTGGGGGTTTTTTTGGGGTTTTTTTTGGGTTTTTTTAAGGGGAGGTGGGTGGTGGTAGGGGGGCAATGGATGAAATGAAAGATGAAATGAAGTGAAGTAAAATAAAAAGGAAACTTGATGAAACCCAACCAAACCAAACCCAAAAACAAAACCAAAAACAAAACCAAAAGCCAACCAAACCAATGAAACCAAACCAAACCAACCCCAACCAAACCCAAAAACAAAACCAAAAGCCAGCCAAACCAACCCAAACCCAACCAACCCAAACCAATGAAACCAAACCAACGAAACCCAACCAAACCCCAAAATAAAACCAAAAACCAACCAAACCAATGAAACCAAACCAACCAAACCCAACCAAACCAAACCAAACCAAATCCAAGAACAAAACCAAAAACCAACCAAACCAATGAAACCAAACCAATCAAACCCAACCTAACCAACCCAAACCAAACCCAAAAACAAAACCAAAAACCAACCAAACCAAATCAAACCCAAAAACAAAACCAAAAACCAACCAAACCAATGAAACCAAACCAACCAAACCCAACCAAACCAAACCAAACTAAACCCAACCAAACCCAAAAACAAAACCAAAAACCAACCAAACCAATGAAACCCAACCAACCAAACCAACCCAAACCAAACCAAAAAACAAAACAAACCAAACCAAAAACAACAAAACAAAAACCAACCAAACCCAACCAACCCAAACCAAACCCAACCCAACCCAAAAACAAAACCAAAAACCAACCAAACCAATGAAACCAAACCAACCAAACCCAACCTAACCAAACCCAAACCAAACCCCAAAACAAAACCAAAACCCAGCCAAACCAATGAAACCAAACCCAACCTAACCAAACCCAAGCAACCCAACCCAAACCAAACCCAACCAAACCCAAAACCAAAACAGAAACCCAACCAAACCAACTCAAACCCAACCAAACCAAAAACAAAACAAAAACCAACCAAACCAATCCAAACCCAACCAAACCAAACAGAAAAACAAAGCAAAAACCAACCAAACCAAACCAAACCAAGCCAAACTAACCCAAGCCAACACAACCAAACCAATGAAACCAAACCAAACAAAAAACAAAACAAAAACCAACCAAACCCAACCAAACCAATCAACCCAACCCAACCCAACCCAACCAAACCACTTCAAACCCAAACCCAAACCCAATCAAACAAAAAAAAAAAACAAAGCCCAAATCTAAAACTAATGAAACCAAACCAAACCAAACCAAACCAACAAAAACCACACAAACCAAGCAAGCAAAAACACCAAACCCAAAACCAAAAGCAAACAGAACTAAACCAAACCCAGNCACCCAATAATAATAATAATAAAAAAGTGCACAAATGTAATATCACATAACTCCTCTAGCGCTGAAAGCTATGTTAACCAACCCACCCCCCACGCCCCCGGAAAGAAGAGAGAGACAGCGAGAGAAGGACAGAGAGAGAGAGAGAGAGAGAGAGAGAGGATTTCACAGTCATGTTTTACAGAAGCTATTGCGTTACACTACCGCTAGTTAATAACTGGCAAAAGGCAGCGAGGGCTGGCGGTGCCTCCCGCCTCCCGCTCATTGTACCGCGGAGCGTCGGCTGTTTTATTTTACAGCAATAAAAGGGGTTGGGGTTTTTTTTTGTGGGGTTTTTCTCTTTTTTTTTTTTGTGGGTTTTTTTTTTCCCCCTTTTCTCTTTTGTTTTTCTGGGTTGTTGTTTTTTTGTGTGTGTGTGTGCGTCCCCCAGCCCTCCCTTACACCGACTGCCATTAACGGGGGGCTCGGGGGGCTCCTCCACCCCGGCAGCGCTCGCCTTTCAGTCCTCAAAAATCCCTTTATTTCTTGTCCGCCTTCTGTGCTTCCCCTTCCTCGTCCACCTCCTGGGCCCTTTCCATTTTCTGTTTTTCCAGTTCCTCCTGCTCGCATTTGCTGCTGGGAAACTTGTCTTTGTTGTTCTCCTTTTTCCATTTCATCCTCCTGTTCTGGAACCAGATTTTGACCTGCCTCTCTGTCAACCCCAGGGCGTGCGAGACCTCGATCCTCCGTTTGCGGGTCAGGTAGGGATTAAATAGAAATTCCTTCTCCAGCTCCAGCGTCTGGTAGCGGCTGTAGGTTTGCCTCCCCCTCCTGCGTCCGGCGGCTGCTGGGGGATGGCGAAGGTTGCGGTGGGAGAAGGGGGGGAAAAGCAGAGAAGGAGCTTGAGGAAAACACAAACCAGGCTCGGGAAGGGCAGAGAGGGAATTGCGAGGTCCAGGGCGGAGATGGAGCCCCGAGAAGGGGACGGAGAGGAGGGGAAGGGGGGTCGCGCTCAGCCCACCCCGGCAGCCGGGCTGGGGCCGCGCTTTGCACGCTGATCATCACCCCCACCCCAAAAAAAACACCCCAAAAATTAAAACAAATTAAAATCTACAGCAGAGAGCCCCGGAGCGAGCGGCCAACAAAAACCAAGGGGCTTTTCGAGGCTATAAAAGTGCCATAAACTTTAGGGACGCTTCCTCCCACAGAAAGCCCGGCTCGCTCAGCCCCCAGAAGAAAAGCTCTCCTTCAGGGTAATTAAACTATAAAGCAATTTACAAGTGCAAAAGTTTACCCCCGTAAAGCACTAAAATACGAAATAAAAGAACCAGGCAGCCAAAGAAAGGACCNTGATACGGTAAATCAAGACAAATAAGTTACATTTACAACAAAAGAAACGAATTTATAAAAGAAGTGAAATCCAAAACGAACACGTGGAAATAAAGAAATAAATAATGTTTTGAAAAAAATAAATCAATAAAATCAGGAATAAATAAAAGCCCGCCCTCGTCAGGCTGGCGGGTGGGAGAAGCTTGGTGGGAATGGTGGAATAAAAAATGATGATTTTTGGGGATATTTGGGGAGATTTGATAATTTTTGGGGATATTTGGGGAGTTTTTTCCATGGAGGGACACGCGAAATTTTGGGAGCCGAGCCCGCCCCGCTGGCAGCGGCCGAGGCGGCGAAAATCGCACCCGAAAGCGAAGTGGTTTTAGGGTAAATATTGGGATTTTGGCTAATCACCTGCAAATATCGGTAACGGGGGAGGGAGAAACGCCACGGCACAAATTCCCCTTTTATTCCCTTTTTTACCCCAGAATCGCGGCTGGAGCCAAAATCCCGCACAGAAACTCCCGGGCCACCCCAAACACCCCCCAAAAATCCAATTTATTGATTATTTCCAATTAAAAAAAAATATAAAATATCAATCCCGTGCGAGTCCTGCCCCTTCCGAGTTTGCAGGGCTGTTTCCTCCCCGGAATTGACTGGATCCAATATGCAGAATTAATAATTAAAGAGGAGGAAAGCTGTTAATAATTGATATTGTTAATCCTGCCCGCCATCCTTTAATGGCCGCGCTCCAGCCCGGCGGGTTCGGGGCATTTTGGGGTCGTTTAAATGGATTTTTATTTTATTTTATTTCCTCGCAAATCCCCTGGCAGGAAAGCGAATGGGGAGAGGTCCTGGCATCTCTTTTATTTTTATTTTTTTTTTCTCCAAAATCCAGTAAAATAAATTAACAGCTTCCAGGCAGGGATTCATTAGGGAGAAACAACAACAACAAAAAAAAGGGGAAAAACGGGAAAATCAGAATCAGGACTGGCCGCAAAACAGCCCGGAACGCCGGCAAGAAATTTAATTATTATTGAATTAAAATAAAAACCGCACGGAAAGCAGAGCGGCTTGGAGAGGGATTATTTTGGGACAAAATGTTCCATTTTCGGNCCTCAAATCCTTTCCTCGCTAAACCTCAAGTTTGCTCCGCTCTGCCTCTCGCCGAATGCACAGGGGCGAGATTTTTCTTCATTTCGCTCATTTATTTCTGTTGGCGCTCGTATTTCACGTCGCGGCGATGAAACGGAGCCTCGAGATGCCGAAACTTTGCCTCTTAAAACAAGATTTCCCACCCTGCGGGCTGGAACTGTTCCGCCCTCACCCAAAATCTCGATTTTTGGAGCGGCGGGAGCGGTTTCTGGTGGAACTTGGGAGCAATTCTCGGTCAGGGAAAAAACCCCGTTTATACCGATTTGAAAGAAAACCCATCTTGAAATTATTGCCGCCGTTTGTAGCGGAAGAATTTACAACATCTGAGTAAATTTTTTGCCTCGTAATTCTGAGGAATCAAAGGCCGGAATCAAAGTGAGCTGGTGGAGTTAAAAGTTGACATTATTGCCTCCGCATCGGGGGTGTATTTAAATGTGCCCCAAACCTCGGTGGTTTAAGAGCATTTTGGGTTCATTTACGCGTTTGTGGCATTTTAAAAAAATATTTCTGAAGCTGTTAAAGTGAAGAATTCAAGCGAAGAGCGTCAGCGGTGCCAAAAGATGGGGCGGCCACGCCAGAAATGAGTGTTCAACTTCTAAAAGAAACAAATGCTGTTGTTTTGTTGCACGGTTGAGTTGGTTTTTTTTATTTAATTTAATTTTTTTTTTTTTTTTAATCCTGCGGTGGCTGGGATTATAAAACACATAAAATATCGAGCGGGGAAGGCGCAGATCATCCTAATGGCCGAGAGGAAAAATATTGTCCCGGCTCTGCGCGTCCCTTTCCCCCCGAAACCTTGGAGCCGCTGGCTTTTTTCAACCCCGCACACGTAAATCTGCGGGCCTGGGGTAATTCCAGCTGTCCTCCCACCTCCAGAGCGGCACCAAACAAAACCCGGCGCTTTTTGATTCCCTTTTAAACCAACATTTAGCGGGGATGGATGCGCGCCCCACCTCTCAGCGCGGCTCCTCCGCCGCCTTGCCGCGGTGCTTTTCCCCTTCCCAGCCTGACATAATTTAGCCTGGATNAAACCAGACCACGAGAATCTATTAGCGAAAAAAAGAAAGCGCTAAGATGCTAAGCAACGGCAGTTTGTGATTTCCAGGAATATAAAAGGAGGATATAATCAAAACTCTAAGCCTGCATGATATTGAATTCTTTCCTCCCCCCCCACCCCTAAAAAAAAAAAAAAAAAAAAAAATCGCCACTTAAAGAGTTCTCGCTTTACATTTCCAAGAAGAGATGCCAGTTCATAAACAGTTTTCAGTGATTTACTTCGGCGCAAATGAGTTGTTTCATATTTTGCAGTGTCTTTTCATGATCATTTGCATCTATTACCAAAACCTCATCCTATTGGCTTCTCCTTACTCCACACGGACCCGGCACCGCATGATTGTGAGAGGAAGAGTGTGGGAGAATAAAGGAGGAAAAGCGAGCGAGGGGGAGCGGGCGAGGGAGAGGGAGGGAGAGGGGAAGGGAGAAGGAGGTGGGGTGAATATACGGATTAAATATGTTTAACTACCCCCATTAATGAGGTACCGCTCGCCTCACGACAAATCACGCACCCGGACCACCCAAAAGATTGATTTTTGGGGAGTGTTGGAAAATTAAAGAGGAGCGCTCGCAGTCGTTAATTTCGAAATTTTAACGAGGCAGTTTTAGCCTTTTTAAATGTCAGGGTCGCTTTGGAAAACTGTAAAAGAACACGATTTAATTGCTACCAGTTTTAAAAGGTCCTATAAATGTAATTGGTATTTTAATACAAGTTATCAAATCATACAGCTTCTTATCCTAAACATATTTTAAAACAAACGAGGTAGTCATATTTAACATTTTAATGATCAATTTCCTTATTATTGATAAAGGTTTAACTATCGCGTGAAGGGAATTGCGTTTGTAATAGCCCCAAAAAAAGGCCGTAAACTGTTTAACAAACTATAAAGCGCCATCAAGCCGGGGATGTTGTTGTTGTTTATGCCGCACTCCATAAAAGCCGCTCGGCTTTTACGAGCGCGCTCCTCCAGCGCCATAAACGCGGAGCTTTGCTCGGGAGCCTTGCGCGCCCGCGGAGGCGCCGATGTTGAACCCGAACCATCGCGGTTTTCCACCCAAAACCTCGGCTTTGCCTCCTCCTCCTCCTCCCCTTCCTCCCCTTCCTCCTCCTCCTCCTCCTCGCTGGGGATGACTCAAAAAACTCCAAATTTGGGGGCTCCCATCCCCCCCTCCCCTCCAGCCCCGCCTCGCCCCCCTCAACTTCCACTTCTTCATTTCACCCTTCTCCGTTTCACCCTTTAATTTTCATTTTTTTAAATTCCATTTTCTAAATTTCATTTTTTTCCCCCTCCCATTTTTTTTTATTTATTTTTTTTTTTTTCCCAGGGTAAAAAACCCGGCGGGGCGGGGTGGGGGAGAAGAAGAACAGAGAAATTTTCCCTTTTATTGGCGTTTGGCGAGAGCGGAGCCCGGAGTTGCCCCTCGGATGCCGGCGCTGCAATTTCGCAGCGCCGGGAACACACAGGGGGTAGATTTGGAAATTCATTTCTCGCACTCAGCAAATATTACCCAGGCGTTCCTCGGTTCATAACGGCGCCAACCCCCCCAGAGCCCCCCGCAATTCCAGATGGGTTTTTCAGCCTTTCCAGCCTCTCTTTTCCTCCTCAATTTGGGTTTTTTTTCCCCCCCGTTTTGCCCCGCCTGGGTTTGTGCTCTGTCCGAACGGGGGTGAAGCCAAAAACTGAATTTTAGGAGGGTTCCGCTCCACTTGAGGCACAAAATTCAACCTCCGTTGCACGAAAAAAGGAGGAGAAAGTTGAAA